GCCGGGGCTGAGGGGCCGCTTTAGCGAGGCGGTTGTAAGAGATGTCTGTGTCTGTGTCGAGACCCTTACAGTAGCTCGCCTGAAGAGGGTAGGTTTGCTGAAAGATAACAAAGGTACCCTTCTACTTTAACACAGCTTTGAACGATTTGGTTTCATCTCTAATTAGTATTTGTATAAATATAATATTTGTAAATATACATATTTGTATACATATAGTATTTGTAAATATCTAATTAGTATTTGTAATCAAAAATCAGGAACAAGTGTACTTTTAGCTAGTCTTGAATCTTATTTCAGAATGAAGGAGCTTTTAAAAGGAAGATGAAATTTTCTACAGAAAAACTTGGTGAATATTTGTGAGGCACAGCTATAGCAACAGGAGGGGAGAAGTTCTGTTTTTATGCTAGTTATTTATATCTGAACTGAAAAGATGGACTTCTCAGAAAACACTAAAGCAATTAATGGCTTACAAGCATGTTTCTTTATTTACTGACTGTTGGGTAGAACCACAAAATGTGTATTTTATAACTTGTGTAACATAAGTAGTTTCCTGTATCTAACTGTAGTGGGCAATAAACACACTCTAGTTTGAAATTCTTGCTTTGAAATTCTTGAAACTTCTTCACGACTTTTAAGCTATGAAAACTTTGTGCAGTCATGATGCATGTAGAAGTGGATGTGACCACATAAATTCCGAGACTACTCCAAAAGCTGTAACTTTGAAGTGTAGCATTAAAAGAAACGCTGTTGAAACAATGTTTAAGTGGCTGCTTCTATATCACTTGCTCTGATCTTGCTTGCTTTTTTTACCCCTAACCATCTGCTGCTTTTGTTAATGATACATGCAATTTTTGAAAGCTCTAAGGCAGGTGACTTCTTGTTGACTTTTAATAGTCAAGTCTGTAGCAGGTAGTGATGTCAAACCTGTAACAACCCAATAACTATGATGCATATGTAACAGTGAATGCATACTTTTCTATAGAGATTGGATATATACAGCTTTATAAATATTTACATGTAAAAAGGATGTGGATCACATTTTATAATTTTTCTCCTGTCCCTAGGTTAGGTATCTTTTTGTTTTGCTAGATGTGTATGTACTACAGTGAACTAAAATCATGTCCAAATGTGTTGTAGTAGTCATCTTTATTAAGTGCCCTATTCTGATAGTGGGTTTTAGATATCAAAATCCAGAAAAAAATCTGCTTTCTATGTTCACAGATTTCCTATTCAACGTTAATAACTTTGTTGTTCTGTTGGAGTCTGTTAGTTCTGAAACACTAAAAGCACAAATAGTTGTGAGTGAATGGAGATGTGATCTTTAATTTTCTCTCTTTGGTAGATAATTTGGAAGAAATGTCCATGGTGATCCTTGTTGCTAAATAGTTAGATTGTTCTTTGTACCAGCTCATGCCTTTTTGTGATGTTTGGTTTACTTTCTGAAACAAATTATGGAACTCAATAAATTGAGTCAAATAGCCTACTATTGGCAGAAGCAGTCATTCAACTATAGAAAGACCTTTTATTTGGAAGTGATGGCTGTGAAATGGGATACTAATTGTTACTAATGTTTGGGGACGTACATTTACTGCAGTATACGTGAAGAGATCCCTATACACCAATACTTAACTCACACTGGACATGTGCGTAATAAAAATTTTTGCTTTGTCTCCCCAGATTCTATAAGAAGCAGCAACTAGCAACGATCTTCTAGTTACAGATGTTGTACTTATTAAAAACCTAATTTAAACTTGCTGGAAAAGAAAATGCCTATTTACAGAGTTCCTGCAAGAGTTCCCTCTGAGGCACGATGTACTGTCACTTTGCAGAAGACCTCTTCACAGAATACCTTTACCAGCAGCAAAGCATCTGGGCAGCAACTGAAATCACAGGTGTCGGGAGAAGAAAAGGATAGTCTACTTTCATGTTCTCAGAATAAGACCGAGGATGTGAACAGGACCTATGTGATTTCAGCCTGTAAAAGAGTGATTGACACATCAAGTACATTTAAACCTGAAGGCAGATTAACACTCCAGAGGAGAACTGGGCTAAGCAAAAAATCAGTGTCCAGTAGTGAACAATTGCATACAAACATGACACAGGGCACGGAAAATACACAAACGGAGAAAAAACGTACTCTGCAGAGGCGTCTGAGGACTGGCTCCATAGAGGAGAGTAAAATTAATCGGGATACAGTGCCTGGATTAGAAAGTAATGAGGCTGTTGTACAAAGAAGTTACAAGATTGCCCTTCCACCAAATACTACTGATAATGATGCCCGTGTTGTTAAACCAAGCTTGAAGTTAGCTGACGGTCAGTCAAGTACAAAGTTGTGGTGTAACCTGAACAGTAAGGATTCCTCTTGCTTAGTTGCTGGTCTGTGTGAAAATGATAGCTGCGTGCATTTAAAACATGGAACAAGCACTGCTGACACAAAATTTCAAAATGAAGTTCCTAAATCGGAGCGATTAGTTACGTCAAAATATATTAATAGGGTATCAGGGGAACAACTGAATGAAAAAGGTGATTTAAATAAGCTGGCTGGAAAGCAAAGACTTCAACACTTAGTTATAAAACATAACTGTTTGGGAAGACCAGGGACACCAGCAAAAAGTTCAACAGAAGGGCTTAAGCTTACACCAAAGAACAGAACTTCTCAGGATCAACCATCTCTGTCCACTTCAAATAAACAAACACCTCATCTCCAAATTCTAGCCAAAAAGAAAAACAGTGTCTCCAGCTCTCCTTCTGCAAGTAGAAGTTCAAAACCAAAGGAGAGCACAGAAACTGCAACTGACAGCAGTAGCACCAAGAAAGATGGTTTTAAAGTGGAGAGCAGCAAAGTGATTGTAGCTGTGCGTGTACGACCTTTCAGTAACAGGTTTGTATCCTGGACTTAATTCTGTTGTGAATAGTAGCTTTTATACTGTGTGTTGGTTCCTGCTTTGTATTTTTTGAATTGTTTAATCATTGACCCAATATGGACATAATACATACTTTGAAATTAGCTAATATTTCATGGAACATCAAGATAAAAACTTTATTAAGAGGTTGAATTCACTTTATAGGTGTTTAGGGCTGTTTTTTATGTATTCATTAGCTGAAGTATTTTCAGCTTGAATACTTTTTATGTTCAAACTTTTAACAATGACTACTTTTCAGTTGATTGACATTATTAACTTAAAGAATGTAGCTTGTGCTTTTTAATTTTTTATTTTTTTTCTCTCCCATTCAGAGAGAAAAATGAAAACTCGCTCCCTGTAATCTCCATGAGTGGTTCTGAGACAGCCATACAAAATCCAGCCACAAACCAAGTTTACAGCTTCAGTTACGACTTCTCTTTCTGGTCTTTTGACAAGAGTCATCCTAATTTTGCAAGCCAAGAAATTATTTATAAAACTTTGGCAGTGCCACTTTTAGAAAGAGCTTTTGAGGGATATAACACCTGTCTCAGCCATAAAAAACCCAGCCACAAACCAAGTTTACAGCTTCAGTTACGACTTCTCTTTCTGGTCTTTTGACAAGAGTCATCCTAATTTTGCAAGCCAAGAAATTATTTATAAAACTTTGGCAGTGCCACTTTTAGAAAGAGCTTTTGAGGGATATAACACCTGTCTTTTTGCTTATGGGCAGACTGGTTCTGGAAAATCATACACGTAAGTTCCTAATAGTAATTGTTAAAATTCCTTAGGAGCCAACTGTTAAGCAATATAAAGATGTGAAAAGAGAATATGGAATAGATGCTAAAATGTTTTTGCGTATTTTAAATTTTAAATATTGTTTTAGTTATTTTTAGTAATTGAGACAAAGTTAGCTTTAGAATATTCTTGTGTATCTGACGCTGACCTCTTTCTACATCTCGTGAAGTAAATAAAAGCTCCTTCCAGAGATTTTAGTGAAGGAAAACCTTTATTAATGCTGAGATCTTCTCAGACAATTTCAGTGCTGCTGTTCACCAGTGTTTGTTATCTTGTGCATGAAGTGATATGTTCTAAAGTATATTACTTTTTTGGACAAGACCTTTGAGACACCATTCTAATTATGGTCTTGACTGTTTCAGAAATTAAAAGTAATAAATGTAAAATTCCAGGTGTTTGTGTCACTGCTCATTTGAAATCTAATCTTTACCCCAAATAATCCCAGGCAAATAACATTTTGAGTGTTTATAGCCAGTTATATACCTTCTGTATATTTTTCAATAGAATGCCTAGAGAACTGTTTTGTTTCCAACCACGCATCTATTAAAATCAGTTCTATGAGTCTTATAATTCCCATAAAGTACTATAGACTTTTAAATGTGTAGTTGAGAATCAGAAATGTTTCTATTCAGTTTATAAAAAATTTAGGTCTTTAGTTAGTTTACCATAGATAAAGAATTTATACAGAGGTAGGATTTTCTTTTTAAGTGAGAACTCTGTGTTTGCTTGTAATGTTTATTTACCTTGGCCTAAAGGAATGATATCGTCAATATTGCAATTGTTATCGTATTTATATGTTTTTATTTTTTCTTTTCCTCCACCTTCAGGTAAACAATTACTTCACCCTTGTATTTTCAGCACAGCTGAAATTAATATCAGTAATAATGGTCTCCTCCTTCCAGGTCTACACAACACACTTCTGCTGACAGCTATGTTGTGCGGCTGTGTGAGTCTGTAGGCTGTAGCTGAATTTTAGTCCAGTACACTGGTGTTCTGCAAGGGCAGAACTAGACAGGAAAATACTATACCAGAGGTGGAGAAGGGCTTAGGTTACCGCACTGACAGCATGTGGTAGGTACAGAGAATGTAAAATGCATGCCTGTTAGAATATCAAACATCTATAGGATTACTGTTTATAGTACAAGTTACTCTTCATTTGCTGTAGGGTTTTATTTAACTTTTCAACCCATTTCTCAATGGATGAATTAGGAAAGACATCTGGATGTCATCATGTCCAACTCCCTGGTCAAACAAGGCACTGTGATCAGATTTATTTCTGTCACTTATTACTTCTGTAACTTAGCTACATGTGGCATTTCAACTTTAGAGGTATACAGTTAACGTTAAATCTAGCAACAAAACTGAACTAGCAGGGATTTTTTATCACTACAGGATGATGGGATTTGATGAAGACCAAGGGATAATTCCAAGGCTTTGTGAAGATATTTTCACTCAAATAGCACAAATGGACAAGCAACAGGTAGTATGTTTACACTATTGACCTTACATTGAATTAAGAGGAAACTGATGTGTTTCAGTATTTTGATACTGTTTAATCCATTTATTAATGTCTGTATTCTTTTGCTGATTCAAATCTTATTTCTGATAGTTAACAAGGTTTCCTAAATAGTCAAAATCAACACTAACTACAAAAAATGTAAAAAAGAAATATGGGCATGCTATTTTTGATGTGTCACTAGACTAGGATTTTTTGCTTTATATATCATGGCTTACAAGATAAGATTTATGTAATGAAAGGTAAAAAGAAATCCTAGTGGGTTCCTTACTTTCAGTGGAGGCATATAAAACAGAACTCAAAAAATATGAATTTATTTTTCAATGTCGTTACATATCAAAGGAAAATACTTTTGTAACATTCTAGCTCAATATTCTTACTCAAAAAAAAAAACCTACACCCACCTGGATATTTTTTAAGACTTTAAAGTTTTCATTGTAAATAATATTTTGTTTTCTTCTCTGTTTTGAGAATAGATCTTTATTTGCACACAACTCTATATGAAAGAGTGGTCTTCTGTGAGGGGGTGGGACTGTTTCATCTGATCACAATGTATCTTGATTTGAATTCCTGTCCTATACCTATGGTATGTGATTTAAAAACAAGAATGTAGTAATCCTTTCCAGAGTGTTTAATGAAGGGTTACATCTGTTTCTGCCCCAATTAATTGGTGCAGAAATGGTAAATTTAGAGAATCATAACGGGAGACACAATTAAATTAAACAAGCAAAAAAGGTAAACTACTCATTGTATGTCTTAAGAAGAAAGACCCAAACTGAGAATGCAAGTATGCAAGGGTTTTGTTTGTGGAAATTCTTCAGTTATATTTATTTTTCTGTGTGACTGTTGTTAAGGCATTTCTACGACTGAATTTCTGGTACAGAATCACTTTTGAGAAACCAATTTGTGTAATAATAACACAAATTATAATCTGTGATTAGAAACTCTAAATGTCTCTTAAAATTGTGAAAAGGATTAGAAACTTACATTTATACTCTTTCTTGGATAAGGAATACCTGATGCAAAACATGCTGGTGACAGGCTGCTCTTTGCATTCTTCTTCTCTGTATGTTTGTCTACGTTTCTAAGGACTGACTTGCAGATCAGTAGACCTCGATGTTTAGTTAAGCTTATGCAGGCAAACTTTTCTATTTTTAACTATACCAAATTTCTTTATTGCTTTATGCTTGAATTCTTCACTTTGAATCCTAATACCAGTGAACCAGTGAATATTCTGATCTTACAGTGGAGAGACACTGAGAAATCTAAGAAGGTTATTACTGAGTTTAGCTAGAGAGTCTAACTTCTAAAAAATGCAGAGCTGCTAGATATGTTTGTTATTCCTTTCCTTATGCATTGTGAATAAGTGATTCTGTTACTGAAAATTTTCTTGAATCTTAAATTTCTGACTTCTGTGTTTTGTTTTTTTCCTGTAATCTTTTTTGTCTCTTAAAGGAAATGAAATTTTATTTTAAAAAGAAAAAAAGACCTGGGTGCCTTCAGAGGAAGGAGATGTGTTTTCATAAAGCTTGTTGTTCAGTACTTTTAAAAATAGCTGTAGGTAGAACCAAGGTTTATCTTTCCATTGGGTCATTCTGTTCCATGTCAGAATGTTGACAACATCAATCCAAGCCTTTTCTGTTACATGTATCATGCTGTAGAAGCCTAGGGAATTGAGACTACTGCAGGTGTAAACAACACTGTTTTCATGTACTAAAAACTCAACACTGAAACTTATGTGGATGTATAAATTTTTTTTAAGTTTGGTAGCTATTATCTAGGAATGGATGGAATTCCAGTAAATATTTTGCTTGGCATTTGCAGATCCCTGGTTTAAGATCTCATTTCTCTTGGAAAGTCCCTTCAGTACAAACGCCTGTAACACTGACTAGCAAGATCTGTTAATCTGTTAATTTTTGGAACAAAGGATGATGAAAATATTTTGTGGCCTATATTAATAACTCTTCTATTATTAATTTTCTTAGGTTTTGTATCATCTTGAAATGAGCTTTTTTGAAGTATACAATGAGAAAATTCATGATTTGCTTGTCTTTAAAGCTGAAAGTGGACAGAAGAGACAACCAGTAAGTTGCTCAGAGAAACAAGTATATGCATAATCTCAGAGTAGTGACATTTATTCTGTAAACAAAAATGCACAAATGAAAAGTGATCATTGTTTTGTTATCTAAATACCTTAGATTGTTGTGAATAAGGGATTTGAGTGGAAAATTAAAAATCTCGTTACACGACTTCAAACAAATGCTTGGCACTTCAGAAATGCTAAGCAAAAAAAAATCTTGCTGAAATAGAAATGGAGTGATTAAGTAGAATCTCTCAAATTTGTTAACATCTATTTGCAAACTGAAGATGATTTTATCAGCATTTATAAAAAGTCTCTTAAAATATTACTTATCTAAATCTCTAGATTACATTAAGATTCTTCTGTGCAATATAATTTTAGCTATAATCCTGAAATTTAGATGAAGTTCTAAAATGGATGGATGACAATGTCAGGAGGCTTCCAATGATGCTTGTGGTGGGGGGGTGGGTCGCAGAGAGGGAAGTATTTGCCTAATTGTATTTGATCCATCAGTCTCCTCAGTTCTCAGCACTACTGAAATGTCTGCTCACATTCTGGAAATATCTATGGATTGTTTATCTACAGGGATGCCTGTTTGCTACTGATTTTACGCATCTAATTGCAGTCCATAATATATTCATGAAAATGATAGTATTTGCAAAGGGAGAATTTTTCCCCACTTCATTTCCTCTATGCGTTTACACTGCTCAGCTACAGAAAACCATCATATAAGAGCTTAGCACCAACATGGATAATATCTTTCAGACTCTTTGCCCTGGATAATTTACTGCTTAGAGCCATGGGGCTGTCAAGAAGTTCCTTTTTTCCTGTTGGTTGGTTGTTTCCCAAGAAGCTGGAAGAGGAGGGGAGAGAATCAGTAGCCTTATAAACTAGTTAAGGCTCACTAGTTAAACTAGTTTAGCTAGTATTTAATGCTTGTGTGTTTGATTTATTTAGGGGAAAAAAAACCAAAACAATCCCCCCGCCAAAACCTCTCTGTACTTTGATGTATTGAACACTATACTAGCCACTTGCATCTGAACTACGGATATTAGTTTATGGTAAAGAAGATATGCCATATTCAACTTGCTGTTGAAATAAGTCCTAAATTTGGGACTTATGTGGACTAGTTATATACAAGGAAAGCCTATACTGTCTCATTTGTAGTACGAGTGCTTTCATGTGAGTTTTATCAGTGATTCTGAGCTAACCTATTTAGCTTGGAAACACAATAGATTTATGTTGCAGAAAATATTAGGTTTTTTTCTAAATTTTAATTATGTAAATATCTTATATAGATAAATGTTCTTGCAGTTAGCTCTGTTAGCAATGGTCTGGTGCAGTCTGCTGTAATTTCTCAGGCAGCTGGAAAAACTCAGTTGTATGGTATTTTCCTGAAAATATTGTTCTAGATTCATGCTGAATTTTGTTGATAATAATCATCATGCTAGCAATGTAGACAGACTTTCTCTTAATTTTAAGATAATCCTGAGTGTTAGCTCTAATGCACTCCTAATAACTTTTCTTTTGAAATTATTCTCATCAGCTTCGTGTAAGAGAACATCCAGTGTTAGGACCGTATGTGGAAGGCCTGACAGTGTAAGTCTCAACTGTTCTTATTTTAAGTAGATGTAT